CCCAACCTGGTTGTAGGCAGCCATCTTGTGAGGGCGTGAGGGTTAATTTGCATATTACCTCTTTATTATATAGGATTGAATGCTTAGAAGCAACTGTCTAATTTAATTAGCATTGCTAAAGTTAGGCTGAAGAAAAAAGTTCGAATGCAACAGCTTTTACTCATGTAATTGCAATCCAGAAATTTTTAAAAATAGAATCAGTAAAAATGTCCTGTTTTGTATATGGCCTTCTATGTTCCTGGCTCCCATTAGATCAAAGAAGTAAGTTATTTATAACCATAAAGCTTTTAAAATAGTCCTATGCATACTTCGGAAGCATATTTCTTTCTCAAGTAAAATGGCCACCCACGAAGCCCTGCCCTTGTTTATCCTAGGCCCGTGGTTCGATGTTCCCGGGTGCCAGACTGGGCCTCATGAGCTGCATGGGCAGTTTCAGTTGGCACCTGAGCAGTTACATGTTATCTTTGATGATGGGGTGTGGGATTTGTTTTTTCTTGCTTGTACATCCTACTTTGAAACAGTACTGGACTTGCCAGCTAGAAGGTTGATGCTGGCCAATCAGATGTGACTTTCAAAATTTCTAGGTTAACAAACCCACACTCAAGTCCATTCTTTGATTTTTCTGTTGACAGCTATGAAGAGTTCTACTCAGGGAACAACACAGAGACAACAGGGTTTTCTCGAGGTGAACAAAAGAAGGACTTTCTTACAGGATAACAGCTGGATAAAGAACCGTCCTGAACAAGAAAGGTAAGGGGATGTGGAGTGGGTGGACAAGTACTTCCTCTGTTTGGGAAGTATTCCCATCTAAAAAGGGAATACTTTCATTTTAAAACACTTTACTACATGGCTTAATTTTTGGTAAGATTTATGAAGCATAAATTGGTAGCAATAGATTTTCAGGAACATCACTACCATTTCTACTGTCCACATACCGAAGAGGTGAAATGTTTTCTTCAGGTGAAAACATGTCTGGTGTCTGCTACTCACTTCTAAGTTTAGGGAAGGATACCGAGGAAGATAAAAAAAGTTCTCTTGGGATATCTGAGGGTGTATATTTGCTGGAGCCGTTTCACTATTCTCTTTGCAAGAGAAAGCAGGGTTTCATTGTTATAACCAAATAGATGCTTGTGGCAGGGAGATTTCTGGTGCATGTAGACCATGTCGGTTGAAATAAATGCAGAATAGTATGATTGCACATTTACAAATGTAATAACAATTTGAAATAAAATTTATTTATGCACAAGTGAAGTCAATAAATTAGTAACTAATTTTAGTCCCAACTAGCTATCCCCCTCCAGCTGGTGGTAAATATGGTATTACTTTGAAAGGGAAAAGACTTACCATTCAGAAAGCTTTGTCTGCTTTGAGCATTGTTTCAATGATGATTTTAAAGTTATGACCATATTGTCTTCCTGCCAACATAGATTTACAATAGACATTTGTCCAGCCCAGGTATATCTTTATTATAAATTATGTATATACATGTGCACACTTTTTTGATTCCCTCTTATGCATCAGGCTTGGCACTAGGTACTTTACGTATCAAGCATTAGTAAATCTCACAGCAATCACACAAAGTGGGTATTTTATTCTCATTACACAAATGTGTAATGAGGATAAAATACTATCAAGTCCATAAAATGAAGATGTCCAGACATAATGGGAAATCTGAGGCTCAGAGAGGTTAAGTAACTTGTCCAATGGCACACTACTATTAAGTGGTGGAGTCAAGATTTTAATGTGACCATTATCTTTCCATTATACCAATGGTTTTCAATCCAATCAGGGTAATTTTGCCCTCAGGGGATGTTTGGCAAGACATTTTTAGTTATCAAAAGGGGAGGAGTACACCTGACATCTAGAGGGTCGAGGACAGTGATGCTTCACAGGACACTTCCCAGAACAAAAAATGATCAAATCCATAATGTCACTAGCGCTGAAGTTCAGAAAACCTGCATTACACAATACTTACTCTGAATTTACTGTCTATGGGTGGTTATTTGAGGAGTATACTTGTAACTGTTAAATAAAAAATGTCTTGTGATTAAATATTATTTTAAGGGACTATGGGGGTATTTGGAGATTCACACTAACTTTTAGAGTTAACACTCTTGGACAACAACTACTTCCTTCTGTGAAGCAACATTATGACTTCTGTCAGAGCCTAATATGGCATTTCTGTTTTTTTTCATAGCGGTAGAGTGATGTCAAATGTAGAGCATAAATTTTGGGTTGCAAATATTTGCACAGATGGGTAAAGACAGAGATGTCTAAGACAAATTACACTTGGCAGGAATGATGGTTTTTATGCCAAGCATGCCTCCTTAAAAAGTCCCAGGGAAGCCAGCCTGGGTAGTATGACAGCTGCTAAATGAGGGGAAATTGGCTCCAATGTTTCCCCTACTCCCACTGGCACAGTTCTGGGCTATGCGTTATAATTTTTCTTCAGGTGAAAACATGTCTGGTGTCTGCTACTCACTTCTAAGTTTAGGGAAGGATACCAAGGAAGATAAAAAAGTTCTCTTGGGATATTTGAGGGTGTATACTTGCTGGAGCTATTTCACTATTCTTCTTTACTTCTAATTGTCTACTATTGTATTTTTATAGCTTTATTATACATGGTTTCAGAGTGTTGAGTAACATTAGTGGAGCAGAACCAGGAGAAATGTGGTATTTCAGGTTTGATTGGGTTGACATGAAAAAGGTTCAGGTACTTACTCTCTGCCTTGGCTCAAGACCAAAGGCTCTACTACATGTTTTGACATTCCCTAAGATTGCCTGTACTTTGAGGTCTGCTGTACAAACTAAGAAGGACATGGCTTTGGGATTTTCTGTCCGATGGTCTTTTGCAGGGTTGACCAATAGGAAAAGCAAAAGTTTGGAGTAAAATGGTCTGGGCCCTAGACCCATCTCTGTCACTTGCTAACCTTTTGGCCTTAGGAAAGCCACAAAATCCCTGATCAATTTCCTTATCTGTGAATTGGAGAGGAGGGTGTCTCCCCTGCCTAATTCATAGGGTTAAAGACCAGAGCACACTGGTATTCTCATGGATCAAAAATGGGCTGTATCTCCTGTGAATAATTACCAAATAATATTAGTAATTATTTTCCTACACTTGTCAAGGAAAACTATCAAGTCCATAAAACGAAGATGTCTAGACATAATGGGCTTAATTAATTTTAGAACATTTTTATAGAAAACTTTTGCCCCCCTGTAAAAAAGTGACTCTCCTAATGCATACAAAGTAGACGGCCTCGTGTTCCCACACTCTGATGGAAAATCAAAACAAAACAACAAGCACTCACTCCATTGTTGAATCACATGGAAATCTCATGGAATAAATTAGAATAACGATCATTTGTACTGACAAACTTGTTTCTTTCCACCGTGCTCTTTCAAGTGGGGACTGGTTCAAATGAATACATAGTTGTGTTTTTATGCCTGAAGTAAAATGAATTAACCTTGCCAAAAATTGTGGGCTGTTTAATGTCTCCCTTATTTAGCGATTACTAAATACTGTGGTAACTTTTCATGTGACTTCATTTTGTTCTTTCTCTGCAGAGATGAAAATTATGGTCGGGTGGTGCTGAACCGACATAACTCCCATGATGACTTGGAGAGGTGAGTGTTTCAGAAAAACTACGTCATTAGCAGAAACACAAAGGCGGTCAGTTTTGAGAAGACTTGTACAAGACAGGCTGCATATTTGCGGTTGCCTCGGGCTTTCCTTGATGTCTGGGCACGTGAAGGATACTCTGTGATATCACCAGGAGTTTGCACAGGGAAAACTCTGTGCTTCTCCAGCTCTATGCTTCCCTACATGCAGCTTGAAGAGTAGAATAACCCATCCTCTACTTCTGATGGGAAAGGGAAAGAGAAAGGGCTCCCACAGAGACTTGACCAAATAAGTTATCTCTGAACCTTAGAGAAAGGAACTCTAAAATGCAGGCCTAACAGCTCCAGAGGTCACGTGCTTTCTGGGATAGTACACTCCTTTTTGGAAATTTCTAGGCTTGTAGAAAACCAGCAAATAGTCAGTGGCAAATGGACTGACAAAGACAAATTAGTAGGGAAAGTCAGACAAAACTAGTAATCATAATGATTTAAATAATCTAAGATTGATAAAATAAATAGATAATATTCTTATTAAGACACATTTACACTCGCACACATACAACCACACCCATCAAAAGAACCCAATTATTTATCAGACACAAGTTTTATCTGGTCCAGTGGCCTGCATGTCACCAAGACGTACATAGGAAAGGAGTGCAGTTGTCTTTCATGGTATGATCTTTAGAAAGTTAAGTAGATACCTTCAATATGTCTATTTTGGAAACTTTTATTTGTGGACTTTTCTAAACTCTTTTAAACCTGGTCATAATTTTGACCTGTTGTAAGGTACTGAGCTTACAGCCCTCTGCACAGAGTGTTTGGTTTTCTGGTTTCCAGCCTCAGCTCACCTGGTTCAGTGACTGCTCTGAGGTTCGGCAGCCTCTTCCTGTGCCTTCTCCTTGCTCTTCATCAGCTTTGTTCTCAGTGGGCCCCATGTCACCAAACAACGGAGCCTGATCACTGAGTCCAGCCCCCAGTGGAATTGCTCCTCCATTTTATTGGCCCCTCTGTGGGACTATTAATAACGTGAACAGAAACACTAAGCTTTGTGTTCTCAGTGTGTTTTAGGATAACAGGATCCTAAGGCCTTGTGTGCTTATTTTATATGTGAAATTATTTTGGTTTCCTGAAACCTTCCTGTTGGTGGGCAGCATTTTGGCTTAAGCAGCACACTTTTTTGGTGGGCAGCATTTTGGCTTAAGCAGCACACTTGTTATCTTCAATAGCAAAAACCTTTAAGCCCAAGACATTTTCCCTTTGACCTACATCTAGTGTCTCAAACTACATCTTCTGAAAGGGTAGTATAGGTGATTTTTTCCTTGCACTTGCTCAAACAGATGTCCACTTGACACTTTTAACACCACTTTGGAGCACCTACTATGTGTTGACATTGTGCCAGGTGCTGGGAATACAAAGATGCATAAGATGACATTGTGCCAGGTGCTGGGAATACAAAGATGCATAAGATACCATCCTTAAGGAGCTCTCACATTCATGAAAAATAGAGGGATACATAAACTAAAACACTAAATAAAATTTCCTGTGGGCAGTGTTCTTGTGGCAGTGTGTGGGGATGCTTTGGAGAAGAGAGAGGAGAGAGACGAACTCTGCCTAAATAGTGGTCATTCCCAAGGAGGAAAGGGTAGCTGGTGGACATGGGGCCTGGAAAGAAGCACTCCCAGCAGAAGTGACAATGTGTGCAAAGAGCTCCTCATGATTAGACTGAAAATAAAGAAAAAGAAAATAATAAATTCTCACCACCCTAGACAACAAGCTTCATCTTATCACAAACTAGAAAATTGTACGCTGCACTTCTCTGTCAGGTCATTAAAACATGTCAAATAAGCACAAAGGATACTTGCACAGATGCCTACTGTGAGCCAGGTGCTATTGTAAGGTCTGGAAACAAAACGAAACCCCTGCTGTCATAGAACTTGCAGCCCAGTTGAAGGTGGAGGCGGGAGGAACGGAAATGAAATAAACACAATATAGTATGTTCTGCTGTGATAAGTGCCAGGAAGACTAAAGCCAACGAATGGGGGCACAGTGACAGTGTCCGAGAAGGGGCAGCTTTACGGAAGGGCGGGATGGCCCTGAAGCACCTACTTGCATTCAAGCATTGCATGCAATGAGGAGCCATACCATGATTTGACTCTGAATTTCAAAAAACTTGGGGAATTGTGTGAGGCATTGTCCTTTACTTCGTTCTCGCCTTAACTGAAACTATTCTCTCTGCTCTGTTTCAGTGTGTTCACATTTATGTACCCTCCAAGGTCCCGCTCAAACTTCACCCCACCCATAAAGCCTTCTCTGATTCCTACCTCTGCAAATAAGCTTTCTCAGCTTGGAACTTCCTTGTGCTTTACCTGAGCCTCCTTTACAACACTGACCACTTTCTACCTGTGAGTGTAGGAAGGTATCTAATTTGTTCCTCTAGCTCTGCATGTGTCGGGTCCACAGTTGTTTCTTCATTTCCTCATCAGCACTGTGCATTGTATACTGTGTGCCTCCAAATATTTGCTTAATAAAAATATACAGCATCAAGTTGAAAATTAAATCTTAAATATACTGTTTCAGCACTTTTTACCAATTTAATACCTTTGATCTGGCAGCTTCAAAGGATGCTTTGATATGCAAATACAGTAAATCATGGCATAATTCCCCAATGAGCTTGCTTTCCCTGTCCCACAGGGTTATGCAAGACATTAAAAAGGCTTTATATTTTTTGCTGATTGATCATTCTGATCAAGATATTTCCATGATTAATGATCATAATTCATGCTATTGAGACTTCTATCCTCTCTTCCCTTATTTCCTTGTCTTCTTCCCTCTTCCTTTCTTTTGTTTGTCTTTCTCAACTCCCTGTCTGTTGTTTCTCCTCTCCCTGCTTCTCCCTATCTCTCTCCTCTTCTCCTCTCCTTCCAACGTCCATCTGTTCTCTCTTCTCTCACTTTCTTTTTTTTCATTTCTTTCCAATTTTTTCTGTTTCTCTTTTCCTTGTTTCCTCTCCTTCCCTTTCTTCTGCCAATATGTTCTCATCTTTCAACCCTGTCCGCGGTGCTGAACTTTAAATAAAGAAATTTGTAATAGGCCCGTTGGGCTGCCTTATGTGCTGGAAAAACTCTGCAAACAAAATATAGCTGATTGTAGTAGACTAACTTCCTCTTATGTAAAAATCAACAGCATTGACAAGGGTACATATTAACCATTTTGCATGTTGTGTTGTTTCCTCAATATTACATTCTAGTTAGAAATAAGTGGACTTAGAGAAGAATTCCTTTATTAGCAAGAGTTTTGGGTTTTCCATAATTTATTTTTCCAAGTAAAAATATTTGGAATATTTGGATACTTCAGGTCTATCTTTTCTTGATAACATATATCATCTCCTACTGAATAGGCCAATATTTTACCAAAAGCATGATAGGTTTTATAAACTATTTTTTGATCATTTATTTTATTTTTCTTTATCTTTGCTGTAGGAAAATAAATGAGATAAATGAGCTAAAAGCCACAATTAGCCGGTACAGATCTGATGACAGTTTGGACAGGTAAGGCATTTTGAACTGTGTAAGCAAATGCATGCCACATATAAAATCCCATTTCCTATAAAGCATGGTGTATTTAAATGTTTACCAAGGCAAACTTTAAACCATGATATTTTATATGCAGGCACAGAAGGGCAATAAGAATTGAATTTTCTTCTTCAAAACTCAAAATCTTGACTCAACAACACTATTTTCCTAAAATCCTGCTAATAGTAAATTGATAGAAAAAATTGAAGAAACTGGTTTGAGTATAGGTAGGGTATAGGCATTGTGTGGAACCTGTTCAATTTAAAATGAATATAGTTATTTTTTGTGAATATGAGTTGTCATTTCTTATTCCAGTTTTTGGTCTTTCCATCCCAATGGTGGAGAAACAATAGTTTCTATATCACTAGTTTATGGAGAGGGTGCAAATTTTAATAACATGATAGTTTTGATCCACTATAGGATAAAGACATTAGCTCTTTACTTTAGAAAGGGAAACGATTCTTTCAGCCCTGGCGTCACCATATGACTTATAGAATGAGTACATTATTGTGCCTGTTGTTAGGAAAAGGCTCATCTCCATAGAGAAAGTTCAGAAATGTATACTCAGGTTGAAGTGTAAATTCTACAAATCACGTTTAAATTTTATGTTTGGTAGAGATGCATAGTAAGCAAAAGTAAAGAGCATAGTTAACATCTTTAATTGGAGTCTAGACACAATGGACACCTGCAGCCATTGATAATTGAGGTCACTCCCTGTAGCTAAAGATGTGCTATTATTGTAGACAAAAATGCTGTCTGCTGCATTTAAAGCAGATGTGCTGAAACTTATAGTATCGCATTTGTTCGACATTCAGGCTATGCCAGTGTTAATTGACATAGCAAATGTATATACTTTACTCACAGGTTTTCAAAGTCAGTTACCTAAAGGAGGACTGTCAGCACTGGTATCTCTAATGAGCTGACACCTCTCTTGTAATTAACAGCCTTAACAAAGATGAGTTTGTAGAAGTATATATGCTAGATCTCATCTCCACAGCATTGAGTGGAGAGAGGAGTCAAAATGCCTCTGTCCATTCACCCTGGCCTCCCTGGTGTCCTATTGTGCCTGTTAAATTAGAAGAAGAAAATGCTATTTCTAGGAATGAATTTGAAAGTAAGATAATTATGCCTCAAGAAAGGTAACTATGTAGGAGACCTAAGCCTTTGTAGGCTCTGTGTCTGAAAATTTATCAGGCCAGTCAGTATAGAGCCGGAAGCATTAGCCAGACCAGACTAGACCACACAGGCAAACTAGCTAAGCCACCATCAGCTCAGCTGCATGTTAGAATTACTGAAAGAGCTTTTAACTGTCACTGTTAACTTGTTTCCATCACCTCTCATCCCAAAATTTCAGATTTAATTAGTCTGAAATGGGACCCAGGCATTTTTTTTTAAGTTTATAAAGTGATTCTAATGTGCAGCCAAAATTCAGAACCACCAATATAGCCCCAAACCTTAATACACTAAAATATGAAGCCAGAGATCACCTACTTTATTTATGCAGAACTTTAGTAGCATATTTGGGAGAAATATCCTGGTCAACCCATTTCCCAGGCAGTCATGTCTCCCAACAGTAATCTATATGTCTCAGAGTGTGGAAATAAATGTATGGGAGAGGACACAGGGGTCAGTATAGAAAGGCAAGTGCCATTAGAAGGAGTTTGGTCCCATAATGCAGGCCACTCCTAATGCAGGACATGAAATAATTTTAGTAGGAAGATGATAAAATGTATATGGTGTTTGGATATATGCACATTTCAATAAAAATGAATTTAGTTTCAATGAAATGGTAAAAGTACTGAGTTTATATTTGAAAAGTTCCCTTAAAAATATACATGTTTAGTTTAAAAATATGAGATATTATAAAGAAACATAAGTAAATAATAGTGTATGTAGCATGTTATATGACACAAATCCTGACAGTGGTTTAATGATAAAGTTGGAAAAATCTAGGTTAGGGCGACCTCTAGTGTTTTGTTGTGGAAATTACCCCCCAAGTAACGTTAATAGCATTGGGTATTTTCTATCTCCAATATCGATTCCTATTAAATAACCTATTTCATATCACAAGTTTGCAAAAACTTAATTTCCCAGAGAAGCACAAAGTAATCTCTGTAAGTAATAAGACATTGGAATATACTATATTGGAATGGTGGTTTAGAGTTCTCCCCATGATTATTCATAGACTGGAAGAGATAGTGGAGGTGAAGAAGAATAACTGAAGGAAGATATGAGTTTTGGTACAATCCACAACAGAATCAGATGTGTGATGACCTGGGGCCCTACCAGACAGAGTTTGGGGGTAGACTACTTCCTGGTTGTGTGGCCAAGAGAATGTCACCCACCTTTCTGAGATTCCATTTCTCATCTATAAAATGAAAATAATTACACCTGTATTATAGGGATGTTCTGAAGAGTAAAAGAAAATGTATAAAATGAGAAGTAAAGAGTAATAGGTAGCCATTTGTATTATTACATGCTGTATTGACTTCTTAGACTGTAGAATTTTTATTAAATTCATTTAATGTCAAAACTCACCTTTACTTAAACCTCAAGAACGTTTGGTATTGAGGTTCTGTTTGCTTTAGACTGGTTGTTGCTTTCAGTGTTCCACAGTAGCAATTTCCCAAGATGATTTTTACTTTATTTGAAGATCTCATAAGCAGCTATAAAGTCTGAGTAGAATTTCCAAGGGGCATTTAGGATTATCTGACATCTTACATATGGTATTCACAGTGGTTTACTGCAGTCCTTTACATAGAAACATCTTGGAGGCTCAGTAGCAGTTAGTGCAGGGGACATATTCATAGTCTTTGCCTGATGGTCTCCTTAGTTAGGAGATTTTTATAATGGACTCGAGGATTCTGTATAAGCTAATGGCTGTATTGTGAACAGTCTGTTGAGAATATGGAGCTCTGGAGGATTCCAACCTTCCTTCCCTTTTACATTTAAGAGTTATCAGTTTGTGGCATCCTATATAATAAAAGCCTATTATGCTAAGTGTATAGTTGTCCGGTCATCTGGTTGTCCATTCAACCAATCAAGTGTAATATGCTAATTATATGCTAAGGCCACTTAACCGCTTGCTATGACGTGCACTGACCACCAGGGAGCATACACTCTGACTAGTAGATTAGCTTGCTGCTGGGCTCTGGCCGAGATGAGCTGGACACACCCTGGGGACCTCCTATGGTCCCGCCCTGGCTGGCCAACCTCCTGTGTCCTTCCCCGGCCCCAATCGTGCACTGGTGGGGTCTCTTGGCCTGGCCTGCACCCTCTCGCAATCCAGGACCCCTCGGGGGATGTCAGAGAGCCAGTTTCAGCCCGATCCCACAGGCTAGGCCGAGGGACCCCACTGGTGCACAAATTCGTGCACCAGGCCTCTAGTTATTTACCATAAACAGAAACTGTGTTTGGGGCTGACTCATAAAATTTTAATGTATTTACCCAATATTTTAGTTATACATGTCAAAATGACATCTAGGAATTTAAATTATTTTAAATGAATGACAATTGAGTCATATAAATTTTTTTAAGAGTGAGGCATTGTGTCCATCTTCCCAGAAATGGTTTATATAAAGCCCTGCATTAAAATTGTTGGTAAAAGTGAAAGTTTAGAGAGAGTCATAGTAGACCCATAGTGTGGGATCAGTAGAAGAGTCTCACTGGCCTTCTGTTTTCCTGAGCCTAATTTTGTTCCATCCTAGTTTTGTGCAAGTCTGCAGAATGTTCCAGAAGACAGCCCATATCTCAGGAAGAGCCTGGTGTGAGGGAAGGAAGGGATGAAACAGGGGCTACAATCATGAGATCCCACCATGGGCATGGAGATCCAGGGTTTCTAATTTGTCTTTTTTGACCCAAGGGACAGACAAACACACCCTATCTAGACCCATCCTCCTTGAGGAGAGCTGAGAGTAGAGGGATTAAACCCTCTGATGGCTAGTAGGCCCCATTAAAGTAAATTAATTCATCAGGGTAATGTAACTCTTTTAACAAGTTCCTTCTCTCACCCCCAAATCTCTGTGGTTTAGCACAATAGATTACTGCTTGCTCTCATCAGAGTCCAATGTGATTGGCTGGAAGAATAGGGGACTTGCCCATGAAATGACTCAGGGACCCATGTTCTTTCCATGATTTAATGCTGCCACCTTCAATCCATGGGCACCAAAGCCATAATGGAAGGAGAATAAGGAGCATAGGTATCATGCAAGAGGTTTTAGGATGTGTCTGGAAGTGGCAAATAAGATTTTTGCCTCCATTCTTCAGTCCAGAACTCAATCACATGGTCCCAACTTAATGAAGACTGAGAAATGTGGTTTTCCTGTGTGCTCAGAGGAAAATAAAATGAGTTTGTCTGTGCCACAAAACATTTAAAAAATACTTCTCTTCCTTTGATATACTTTACCAACATAGAAAGTACTGTCATTGTCTATGTGTATTATTAAGCAATAATGAATATAAAATAGTTAATGAGTTAAATGCTCAATGATTCAGCAAGGCTAATTGAAAATCATGAACTTTAAAAATTCCAAACTCTATCAAAATTACCTCATAAATAGATTTTTGCCACAAGTAGGTTCTTAATTGTAAAAATGTTCTAAATGTAACACTTGAAAAATATTTCTTTTTACTAGAGGAAGGTTATGTCATGAGTTATTCTAGCATAAAAAAAGTCTAAAAGGAGTTTAATAATGTAATGTTCATCCAATCTTTTTTCTTGTGTCTTCATAAAGGATCTCAGACAGACATGATGCTGCTAAAACATATAAGGCCAAAACTTTGGATAACCAACTAACCAATAGGTACCAGTATCTACTAATTTTGGGAAAGGGTCAAGTTCAATATATTCTAAGCATGACTTATTTACTTACAATTCTTCAACCCTACTTAATATCTTTCTGTAAATTCTTATCCTCTATGTGTTTTTTTTTAACACAAAAAGTCTGGAGTAAAAACCTTTATTCCTGCTCATGGTTAGAGAAATGTAAAATCTTGTTTCCTGGCTTAAAGTTCAAGAGAGATCATTGCTTCAGGCCATCATTCTTCCACATTTATGCTTCTGTTTAAATGATCCTGATGGAAAGATTAGAAAATACATGCAAATGTCAATTTTTAAATTCTTATTGCTAAACAAAATTACTGAAAAAATACTTTTCTGAAAGAAAAAAATTTCCTTTGCAATCTAGTACAAGATAGTAAAAGATTATAAAATCACATTACCAAATTTACTCAAATTCTGATACTTTCCTTTTCTTTCTCTCAGATAATCTCTAACCCTTAACAATCATAATTTAAAATTCATGGACAATGTCAAACAGATGCAAGCATGTATTAATTCTTCGTTGCTGCTCAAACTTTTGCCTTTTTTTTTCCTTACTAGAAATATGTCCGCATTTAGATCACCAGAAGCAACAAAAATGTATGTACTTTTCTAATTGAAGTTACGTTTTCAGAATAAAGTGTACTTCTTTATATGTGTTTAAAAAACAACAACAACAAAAATACAGGATATACTGCCATCAGGCCAAAGTTTAATTGTAATATAATTGCTTAGGCAGAGGGAAAGTGTAGAAATACTAAAATGGTCTGCAAAGCTTCCAATATTTACCATGTGGACTTTAACAGAAAAGGTTTGCTGAGCTCTGCTCTTAACCAAACACCAAAGCTTAACTATTTTTTCTTTTCTTTTCTTTTTTAAATCTAGATTTTTGTTTGTTTTGTCCCCACAGAACCATTTTATTTTTTCTTACTCCCATGCAGTTAAATCATTCTTTCCCTACATTCAAGTGCCTCTCCAAACACCCATCATATCTACAACTCAACTGAGTCATGCAATCATGGGTTTGTTAATAATCTATTCAGATGAAATATATTTTCCCTGAATGTACTATTGGCAGTTGTAAATTACCCAAACTAGGTAGATTTAAAATTTTTTTTCTTTAATCCTCACCTGAGGATATATATATTCATGGATTTTAGAGAGAAGAAGAGAGAGAGAGAGAGAGAGAGAGAGACATTAATGTGAGAGATAAACATCAGTCAGTTGATGTGAGAGAGAAACATCAGTCAGTTGACTCCATTGGGTATTGAACCTGCAACCCATGTATATGCCACAACCTTTTGGTGTACAGCATGATGCTCCAACCAACTGAGCTACCTGACCAGGGCCAAACTAGATAGATTTTTGAAAACTTGATTAGTTTTAAAATTTGTATTTACATATAAAGTAATTTTCACATTGGACTGAACCTTTCAGTTGAAATAGGCCAGGGTCATTTCCATTGTGCAGGGGTCCTCAAACTACGGCCCACGGGCCACATGCAAATACAAATATTGTATTTGTTCCCGTTTTGTTTTTTACTTCAAAATAAGATATGTGCAGTGTGCATAAGAAATTGTTCATAGTTTTTTTTTAAACTATAGTCCGGCCCTCCAACGGTCTGAGGGACAGTGAACTGGCCCCCTGTTTAAAAAGTTTGAGGACCCCTGGTTTTGAGGGTCTGTGAATACTAAATAGAGATTAAAATTAATGCAAAAAACATTGCAGTATAATTTTTAGTCACAATATAATTGTAAGATTAAAACATATATACATAAAATGCATATATACTATTTACTAGTATATCCATAGCACACCCAAATTGATTGGTCTGGATTTCAGACACACAATTAATGTCATGTAATGAATGATTTTCTCATTCAGTTCCCTTGGTTTTAGTTACTAAGATGAGAACCTGTCAATTTATAAAATAGATAAATTGAAGAAGAACTTTTTATTTTTGTTCCTCCGTCTTCAAGTTAAACATTTTGTGGTGGATGGAGAGTGGGTGGGAGTATGAGTAGGTTATAAGACCTTTAACTGTGGGATAGAATGAAGAAGTTTCAGGAACATGAATATTTGTTCTTGTGATTCAACAGGCGACCTGGAGGTTTTGTCAGTCTGAACACCACCAGCACCCTCCCTTCCACCTCTGCTACAACCCCTGTAAAGAAAAAGAGGTATGGTGAGCTCCTTGTGTCAGCCTCTTGCTGATATTCTCTCAAGGATTCTTCTTTAATAATTACCAAACCGAATCACCTACCAAGGCTCCAGGCAGCATTCAGAAGTTGCTCTGCTCTTCCTCCTCACCCCCTCCCCTTCCCAGGGATCCCATGCCTGGTGAATTCTATTGTCCCGCAAACTTCAGTCCACCCCCCCCCCCCCCACCCCAATCTCCTTTTCAAACCTGAGATCTTTTCTCCAGTTCCCTTAGGGCCTTGAATATCTAGGTGTTGTTTTTGACAATAGAGCCCAGATATTCAGGTAACACAGTTTAATAAAATCCTATACAGGGAATATCTTACCCTGAATAATGACCGGTGTGGCCATAGGTGGCCATGCTCTTGAGACCAGCTTGCTTGGCGGTGCCTCCTCTGTAAGTCTTTCTTTTACTTTCTTTTCTCTCTTTTGGTTTTTGTTTTGCTTTGTTTTGTTTTAATTTTGTCCTCATGACATAGATCTCTACTTAAGGGTGTTTTGGAGAGGGCGGTGAAGGAAACAGGGCGTTGAGAGGAAAAACAGACACCTGATTGGTTGTTTCTTGCAGACCCTTCAGTGACCCTGTACTGAAAACCTTCAATGTCCATGTGTGATACTGGAGCCTTCCCTGTGATTTTTTTTATACCTTCAACTTGTTTTTGCAGCAGAATTTGTTTATTTATTTATTATAGTTGACATCCAATATTATATTAATTTTGGATGTACAGTATAGTGTTTTGATATTTATATACCTTACAAAGTGATCACCACAATAAGTCTAGTACCCACCTGGCACCTACATAGTTATTACAATATTGTTGACTATACTCCGTGTGCTATACTTTACAACCATGTGATTAGTTTTACAACTGGCAGTTTGAACTTCTGAATCTCCTTCACCTTTTGCTCATACTCCCCACCCCCTTCCCACCTGACAACCATCACTTTGCACTCTGTATCTATGTGTTTGTTTTTGTGTTGTTTTGTTTGATCATTTATTTTGCTTTTTAAAAGATTCCACACATAAGCAAAATCATATGGTACTTGTCTTTCTCTGCCTGACTTATCTCACTTAGCACAATACCCTCTGGGTCTACCCATGTTGTTGCAAATGGAAAAATTTCATTCTTTTTATGGCTGAGTAATATTCCATTATACATATGTACATCTTTATCCATTCATCTACAATGGACAGCTAGCTTGCTTCCACATGTTGGCTATTGCAAATAATGGTGCAACAAATATAGGGGTGCATATATATTTTTGAGCTAGTGTTTTCAACTTCTTCCTATAAGTACTCAGAGGTGGGTTTGGTGGGTCATATGATAGTAATATTTTTAATATTTTGAGGGATCTCCATATTGTTTTCAATGGTGGCTATACCGTGTTACACTTCCACCAACAGTGCACAAGGGAGCATCTTGGGAAGGGCCCTGGTGCAGGCAGAGGCCAGCCACCTTTGTGTGGGTTTTGGGGCTGTTTGGTAGGAGCTTTAGTGCAAGCTGAGGACAGCTGTCACTTGTGTGGAGCTTGAGGGTGTTTGGAAGAGACTGCGGGGTGAGCAGAGGCTGGCTGCTGCTTGTGTAGAGGGTCTGAAGCCTCGGGAAGAGGCTCTGGCTGGACAGGGCCAGATCCCAGGGAATTATTAGAATTGGGAAAATAGTGTTAGCCAGGTTAATAGAGAGTGCAAATTTTACACCCACCTGTGCAGGGACAGCCAGGTAGGAGGAGAGCTCAGCAAAGAAACAACGGAACCTGCCAACCTTTCTGTCCCTTGAGAAAGTTTAGAACAATCCTTGCCCTTGCCCTAAAGTTATTCGATTTAATTCTTCCTCTGTATGACCCAGGCAATTCTGGAACTGCTGCCTCTGTGCTAGAGCTTGGAGCTAGTGAGTTTGTGTGTGTACCCTTTAAGGCCAGTATCTCAGTCTCCCACAGACCTTTTTCTCTCTCAGATATAGTTCTTGCCAGATGTTATGGGGACTTCGTTTCCCAGCACAGGTGCACCCAGCTGAAAATCCCGGTGTGGGGCTCAGACTCATTGCTCCTTCAAAGCTGAGATATCCCTCTGGTTTATTAATTGTGGGTGTGGGACCTGCTGGGACCTTGTTTCTTCCCCTCTTACCTGTCTTGATGTGGCTTCTTCTTTATATCCTTCGTTATAGGATTCTGTTAGGTAGTCTTCAGGTGGTCTCAGTAAAGGTTGTTCTATAATTTAGTTGTAATTTTGATGTGTTTGTGGGAGGAGGCGAACTCAGAGTTTACCCATTCTGCCACCCTGACTCTGCCTCGTGCTTCAGGAATTTAAAGCCAACTCGCTGTCCTCCTACCCAAGCCCTCTCTGCCTTAGGTTCTGTCACTCTTCTCTGAACATCTTCATCTTTGGTTTATATCTTATCTTAGTCTACTTGACAGAGCCCTTAGCTATCTCTACCAACTAAAATTATGCCCTAGTAATGGGAAAACATCTTTCTAATTGGGTACATATGCATTTGTATATAAGCATATACAGGGCATCCCCAAAATGTATACACACTTTGAATAATTATAAAGGCAGTATTTATTAAACTACATTTCATTTTCAAAATGTAATAGAATTTACAGACATTGTGTATATACATTTTTGGGGGGGATACTATATATATATATATAGTATAATTGAGGTTAGCATTGTTGTGGTGTTCATTTATGTTTTCAGCTTTCTTACTTGTCAGAATTTTCTATCACAGTTTTTTAAAGTCATGTTTTGAATAGAGCACAACATTGCTATTATTTTTATTATGAAATGCAGAAAATAGAAAATGAGGTATTTTTATGGACCAACTATTTAGATTTTTAAAATGTTATTATTTTTCAGATTTCCTTCAGCTCTCTTTTAAAAAAATTTCCACATTGCTAGTGTTAAAAGACACGGGGAAGGAATTTACATAGGGAAGCAGATAGCCTTGTGTAGAGGATGGTTAGTTTCTTTGTTGTTGTTTTATTTTTTAAAATTGTTGACAGTATTAGAGATGTCTCCCATTTCCCCTCCCCCCTGTCTTGCCCCCCTTCACTGAACCCCTGCCCCATCCCAGGCCTCCACTGCGCTAGTGTCTGCGCCATGAGCTGTGCATATGTGTATATATGCTCCTTGGTTAATCTCTCTCCCACCCCCACCTCCATTCCCCTTCCTCCCTCCTCACTGAGATCTAGGACAGTTACTTTCTACTGCATTTATGAAATAGCCTTTATTTTATTTCTGGGGCCTTGTAGAAAAGTCATCTTGTTGCCTTTGTTTAGTCTAATTATTTTCAGCTTTTCCTGTAGAGATGTGTGTGTGGGGGTTGGGGGGGCGGGGGGGTTGGGGGGGTAGGGGGAGAATCAGGCCTTTCAAGCACAGTGTTGATAACCGATGTCATTTCTTAACAGACAGTCCTGGTTTCCACCGCCCCCTCCAGGATATAATGCCTCTCCAAGCACAGGAGCAAGCAGAAGGTAAGGGAGAGGTGTCAAATGTAGTCTCTGTGTAACTTGATGGGAAAAGTGTTAGATATCGACAATGTATAATTGTGGATGTGGCAATTTTGTGAACTCTGAGTGCTGAACAACACAGTGCCCAGTGGAGTGCAGCCCTGGTAGGAAATCTGACAAACTGTTAGGAGTACGTAAGTAGCTGTATTAGTTTGCTAAGGGCTGCCGTAACAACGTACTACAAATGGGGTGGCTTAACAAAAATGTATTGTTTCATAGTTCTGGAGGGTAGAAGTCCGAGGTCAAAGTGCCAGCAGGGTTGGTTCCTTCTAAGGGCCATGAGAGAGGATCTGTTCCATGCCCTTCCCTAGCTTCTGGTGGTTTCCTGACAGCCTTTGCCATTCCCTAATTTGTATAACCATCATCCTGATCTCTGCTTCATTTTCACATGGTGTCCTCCCTGTGTGCCTGTTTGTGTCCAAATTTCCCTTCCTTATAAGGACACTAGTCATATCAGATATGGGGCCCATTCTGCTCCAGGGTGACCTAATCCTAACTTAACTAATTACATCTACCATGAGCCTGTTTCCCAATAAGGGCACTTTCTCAGGCACTGTGCGTTAGGGCTTCAACATACCTATTTAACCGGTAAGAGTGACAGAGGAGAGAACAGAGTCAAGCATCAGGCAGGGTTCTCACATGGGCTCCTGGTGCACAGCAGTTTCTAGGCCAGTGATGGCGAACCTCTTGAGCTCGGCGTGTCAGCATTTTGAAAAACCCTAACTTAACTCTGGTGCCGTGTCACATATAGAAATTTTTTGATATTTGCAACCATAGTAAAACAAAGATTTATATTTTTGATATTTATTTTATATATTTAAATGCCATTTAACAAAGAAAAATCAACCAAAAAAATGAGTTCAACCAAAAAAATGAGTTCGCGTGTCATAGGTTCACCATCACTGTTCTAGTCTGTGGTGAGCTCAGTCAACTGCATGCGAGTATGTGTGGCAAGTTCTCTGCAAACTCTAAGTAATAGATGGGTGTTTTCTATTTTTATTTCTTGTTTGTTGAGAGCAATAATTAAACTAAATTATAGACCATGTTGGGGACAGCTTGTTCTACCATTCCCAAACAGGAACGCCAGCAACAATTTAAATTAATAAGTATTGAGTAAGTGGTTACTGTGCACAGATATGGTTCTAGGATCTTGGGGTGTATCAGCGAACAAAACATGGAGTCTACACTCTGGCCTTCAGAGAAGCAGGCACAAGTGTGGATCACTCCTTTAACCTATGCTATCACTAACACGTGAAGAAAAACAGTCTCCTATTCGGTTTTGCTTTAGGGTGTCCAAAATTGTTTTCATGTCTTCAACCCCTGGAATATCTTTACCAAGTTTTTCCGTGTTTCAATGGGACTTATTTCCCCCATTCAACAATTAGAAAAGAGAGTTATTAAATGATGGGCTTGTTTAGTATTGGATTGTTTTATTTCTTAAAATTTTCATCTGCTGTGCAGGCTTTTAATCTCTCTTTTATTTCCAAATAATAGAAATATTTGAAAAGAAGTGTCCTTTGTTGTAATTCAGGTTACATCTATATGGACATAAACATTAGTCCATGAATAGACACAAAGAGCTCAAGGTGCTTTTCTCACACCTGTTGTTGCACCTCTCTGTATATATACATATGTGTGTGTGTATTCTATTATTTATATCTGTTATATTTATATATAACATTAGCGAACATGCTGAATAATCACAACTTGGAATTATATCCACCTTCTGTTAAAATGGTGGGTTTTTTTAAACCTACTCATTTGTAGGTGACTTCCAATTATATGAACTGTCAAGTATGGATTATATTTCTAGTTTAAAACCTTCTTTCCCCTCCAGCTGTGTTTAGATATTTCTCTATGAGTGATACTTGGCTACCTAAGTGGGAAAATTTTTAACCAGGAGTTTTAGTAGCTGCTATTACTTCCTGAGTATTATAAAATCCATCTAGTTTTGTCTTGATAGAGAATAACTGGCACTTAGAAATATATATTACTTATTTCCAAAATAACTTAGTACATTTATCTTCTATTTAGTATTCCAATATTAATGTAAATTATTATAATAATAAGCAACTGGTTATATAACTATGTAGAAATGTGGAAGGATTATTCATGAGTTAACATCTCATGTTCTCAGTGCCCATTGAGCTGTGGATCTATGCACAGAACTGACAGATCTTGGCTACGTGCCCTCACAGTGAATGCACTGCTGAATGTGATTTACATGGAAGATAAAGTGCTCCTATTTCTGATTCCTGGCTCAGATCCACAGCACCAGAACTAAGGAAAAGAGAAGATTATTGGACTAGGTTGATCAGTTTAGATATTCATTCCTTTTATAGAGCACAGATTATTAATATAATGGCTAAACTGAAAGACTTCTCTGTGAGGATCAGAGCTAATGCCATGCCAAGCTTTCGGGGGAAGAAGAGAGTAATAACAGCATAGCAATGCCTTTTATGTCTAAAGTGCTTTTCTTTGGAAGAGCTCAAAGTAAAGCTTCTGTTTCTCACCTTTAGTGCCAGGGCTGAGAAATAGCCTTTTTAGTGAAAGCTGAAAAATAGAAGCAATTATTAAATGATGAAAGAAAGCAAAAGCTTCAAAAAGAGACCTTTGTTCTCAGAAAAGCCCAAAGAAAATGAAAATAGGTCAAACACAGATTAAAAATGTGTTTTTTCTAAATTCTCTCCCAAGGATAAGTTTTCTTTTAAACTGATTTTAGAGAGAGAGTGAGAGAAAGGGAAGAGAGAGAGAGAGAGAGAGAGAGAGAGAGAGAGAGAGAGAGACATTGCTTGGTTGCCTCCCATACATGCAATGAATGAGGATCAAACCCACAACCTAGGTATGTGCCCTGACTGGGATTCGAACCTGAAACGTTTCTGTGTATGGGATGCTCCAACCACCTGGCCAGAGCAAAAATATGATTTTTAATAGTAGCTAATAGTTCAATGTTAACCTTATTTTCTTTCATCCTTCACTTATATACTGGTTTCCTTCCTTTTCTCTCCCCTCCCATCTTCTGCAAAGGAATTTTCTCTTAATACTGACACTCTCACTGTCTTTTCTGTTCTTCATTTTGTGAACTTTCATTTTTTTCCATCACATGATCTTTATCAGAGATTTCATTTCTCCCACAAGCCCCTGTCTGTGTAGCACATTTGATAAAAGACCATCATACTCTGAAATCATTATAGGAATGAGTATTTGTACTGAACTTTTTGTGTTGTTGTTGTTGTTGTTGTGTATCCTCAACCGATGATATTTTTTTCATTGATTCCTAGAGAGTGTGGAAGTGAGGGCGGGGGGAGAGAGAGAAAGAGAGAAACACCAAAGTGAGAGAGACACATGGGTTGGTTGCCTCCTGTACATGCTCACCATAGTAGGGGATGGAGCCTCCAACCCAAGTACGTGCCCTTGACCAGGGATGGAACCCTGAAGCCTTCTGTGCGCAGGCCAATGCTCTAACCACTGAGCACTGGCCAGGGCACTGAACTTTTAACCCTTGACCTTTCTGTGGCCTTTGAAACCATGGTCCACTCCATCCCTCCTCTGTTCCTTTCTTGTCTAATATAGTGTGGAACCATCAAATTTAGTTGTGTTTAGATTCAAAACTTCTGTTGGCATTGTGTTTGGATTAAAATCTATCACAGGCATGATGTAAACTGCGCCTAAAAGGTCTCAAGCCTTTTTTTTTATCAACAGAAGAAAATATAAGTAATATTTATATGTTTACCTATACCTATGACTATATAAGTATGTATTTATGTCTGATCTATTTTTTTCATCTACATCTATAACTATATCTACATGTAATTCTATATATTTAACTAACATAAGGCTGGTGAAGTCAACTAGAGCTTAAATGATAAAATTTAATTTTCTAAAATAGCCATAAATTATAGCCAAAGAAAAAAGCAATTTCCTAAAATAAGTATCACTTTATGTATGATATACATTAGTTTTTCAATGAAAGGGTTAAGAGCTGTGTGATCAAATAAAATTCTGGAGATAAGAATTGAATATCTTTGAAAGCCCCCTTTTTGATAAAACAAGATTAAAGAGATAAGTTGTAATTCATGTCGGCGAGACATAGCATGTAAAGTTTGGAACTTAAATGAAACCTCTTTTAGCTGATTTCTAAGGTAGCTCCTTGGTCATCGGGAGATAAATGTTCTCTGACCTCATCTTCCTTCTCTTGTTGAGAAGGGAAACAATCAGCATAATGTTTTGAATGACCAACCTATGTCAGCACTATTATTTTCTCTGAAATCTTCTATCCAAGGCCATCAGAACCTGTAATATTTTTTTCATTTTAATGAAGACTGAAACAAGATTTTAGCTGTTCTTTATTACATCATCTGTCTCTCTTCCTACCTCTCTGATCAAACCCCTGCTTCACTGTTTTTCTCCCTTTTCCACGTTCAAATCCCTTTCATCTTAAAATAGTGTTTCCTAAAACTGAATAGCCCAATCTTACAAAAAAAGGTAAAAACCCACAAAGTTCTCAGAATTGTTAATGATACTTTCCATCTCCATTTTCTGGTTCCTACCATGATTAGTTCATGGAAATATCTCTCCCAGTTCATTAGTGATCTTGCTGATAAATTCTTTTTGACCTCTCAGTCCCTATGACTCCTTGACCTTTCAAAAGGCACCACTGGCCATTCCTGCCTTTATGAAGTCTCTCTCCTTGTTTTTTTTTAGAAATATCCCCCCCCCACACACACACACACTCTCTTGGGTTTTATTTCTCTAGCCATTCTTTCTCAGGCTCCTTTACTACCTCATCATCCTCTGCCAAGCATGACATGTTGATGTTCCTAAAGGCTCAAAGTTGTTCTCTTCTGAGTCTGTGCCCTGCCCTTCTATAGCATCTTCCATGCCCAGGGCTGTAATGGCCATTTGTTTGCTCTCAACTCCATCATTTATATCCCTTTCATACCTACCTGAGTTACCTTGGGTGA